TAAAATAAATAATAAAAGAGTTTTTTTATAAAATGTTTAAACCAAGAAATAATAGAAAAAATAAAAAAATTAATAAACAATGCGATGTTCCAATCAACTTTTCTGCAAACACTGAAACTGATGAAATGGAAATCGAATATAAAGCTGATCCAAATGAAATATTTTTACTTGCACCAAACTCAAAAATGTTGAAAGTTAACAGAGCTTTGCAAGTATCGGGTCATTACAAATTGAAACTCGTAGCCTTAGATCTCCTTGATGACCATGTCTCAAATAAATATTTATTATCAGATTTAAGCCACAACCAATATGCTTCAGCTATTAACTACCAATTAAATCTTACTCTCAAGTGCCATGGTAGTGTAAAATATTTTAATAGTGTTAAGGATAAAGCCAGCTCTTTATTAACTAAAATGATTATCAAAGAATGGGGAAGTTCAGATGCTACCGTAGAAACCGTAAATTCATCTCTGATAGCCTCAAATTAATTGTAGACCCAGTTGCCTTTCCAGAAAAATACTGTTGGGAAGAAGTTAAAAATTCCATTATTATCTTGGGTAAATTCTCTCAAATCAAAAATGAATCAATTCCCGAATTTTGTTCAAATGATTTCAGAGATTTCTTTGATAAAATATTTTTACTATTATTCAATTTCCTTGATTTTATAGTTTCAAATAAAGATAGAATAATCAAGGAATCAATCTATTTCGATTATGTTGAAGAAACTGAAAAAAGCATTTCTTTACTCTTCGATTTAGTAAGAAAATTCAAAAGTATTAAACTAAAATACAAAATAGTATTGATTTTTAAAACCTCATCCAGTATAAAACCAAAAGAAAAAGTCGAGTACACTTAAAAACAATAATAAAAATATTAAAAAATTATTTAATTTTTATAATTATAAAAAAATAAACAATATTTAATTTGACTATAATAAAGAAAAATAAAATATTTCTTAAAAAAAAAAAAAAAGTAATTTATTTGTATATTTTTATTTATTTAGTATTAACATAGAACTATTTTATTTATTTAATTGTTTGATGGTAGTTCTTTGTTATTTTATAAATATTATTTAATACTATTACTTTTGTGTTTTTTATTAAAGCGAATGTGTGATTATTTATTATTTTATTAATTTGTAGCAGTAAATGTTTTAAATTTTTTGTAATTTATACTATTATTAGTAATGGGTGTAGATTTATTTGTTCCGCAATATCGAATTGTTTTCTTTTGTTAATAAAAGTTTAAATAAAAACAATTACCTGAACTATCTTCAATAATATTTAAAACAGCAACACCATTGGTACAACTTGAACTAACTGCATATAATAAATTCGTTTTTGAAATCCTTTCATTCATGATATAGATGACAGCAGATTCTGTAAGGGTATTGAAAGGTTTTAATTGGTAAACCTGTCTTTTGAAAACTAATAAAAGTTAATTTAATTTATGTTAGTAATTCTGTTTCTATTTTCTATATTTCTTCAACGATGCAAATTTCTATATGGGTTTGTTGTTGCTATTGTTGTTTTAAAATAATGTATTAATTTACTTACTTGTTCTTGAAAGGTTTTAAACATATTTTCAGTAATGTTTAATTTATTATTATTTATTATATGTGCTATTGTTTACATTATTAAAATTATTTATGCCTGTTTTTGTTTGTTGTGATCGAAAAAAATAAAATAATAAAAAAAAAATAAAAAAAATAAAAAAAAAAAATAAAAATTTTTATAAAATTATTTGATTTTTAAAAATAAATATTATTTTAAAAATGGCCATAACTAGTCGATATTGACTAAAATTGGGGGTATACATTTGAAAAATCATATTGTCTAAAGTTTTTAAATCACTAAATTTTCTTCTTCCTATAAAAAAGAATTATTTTCAATTATAAAAAATCATAACCATCAATTTATATTATTTAAATATTAAATTAACAGATAACAATAAGTAAAAAAGTATATTTAGTTCAATTTAAGTATTATCAACTCAGATTTCATTTTTAGATATTATAATATCAATATCAATAATAACAATAATAACACAACACCAGATTCATTATCATCATTCAGTTAAAACAATAGTAATAGTAATAATAACAACAACAGTATCATTGTCATGGAAGAAAGGATATATAAAGTTTAATAGTTAAACAGGCCCTGATTTTTTAGATCCACTATCATATAGCCAATCCAAAAAACATTAAATTTTTTAAGAATAAAAATTTATTTAGGGTCTTTATCTATTCTTTCTCTGTTTATTTTCTCGTCATATTTACACAGATCATTAATAATAATATAATATTAAAACTTTTACTGCAACAGATTATAATTATAATAATAGTTCTTTAAATATAATAGAATGAATTAAAAAAAAAAATATTTCCTTGACAATGCCAATATCTATATGTACTTGTGGGTTTGTTATTGTTATTGTTGTTTTAAAATAATGTATTCACTTATTATTTCTATAAAGGTTTTAAAAATATCTTCAATAATACTAAAATTATTTTTTTTGTTTTGATATGCTATATTTTACATTATTAAAATTATTTTTGTGTTTGTTGTGTGTTGAAAAAAAAAAATAAAATAAAAAATTTTTTAAAAAATTTTACCCATTTTTACCACTATATAAATTTTTTACTCAAGCATTATTTTTAATAAACACTATTCCCCAATTTTAATCAATATCAACACTTTATTGTCATTTTTAAAATAATATTTTTTTTAAAATCTAAAAATAAAATTTTTTTTTTTTTTTTTAATTTTTTTTCAACACATATAAATAGTTTTAATAATGCAAACTATGGCATATCCAATCAATAATAATAATAATATATATTGGAAGTGGCATCGTTTAAAGAAAAATAGAAAATAGAAAATAGAAACAGAATTACGAACATAAATTAAATTAACTTTTATTAATATTCTTGAAGATTTACCAATTAAAACCATTCAATACCCCAACAGTATCTGCTGTCGTTGATATCATGAATGAAAGGATTTTAATCAATAATAAAAAGATTTTGACTATGTTTATCAAATGCACAGCGAACCTATTAAAAGAGATTTTATACTATTTACAAATAATAATAAATATCAATCCAATCATTAACCATTGCTCAATAATAATAATAATAATAATAATAATAATAATAATAATAATAATAATAATCTCAAATTGATATCAATAACTATCATAAAAAGTCACAAAGTCGCAGAAACTCAAATTCTCATATAGTATTTTTCTTCATCCTTCCACTGGCATCTCCCACCATTTTTTCTACTTTATAAAAGCAAACTTATAATCAGAATTGCCAAGTATTAGAACTGTTCAAGTATATAGAGGTTATTTATTGATTGTAGAAATGAAAATTAAAACCTATGCAGATTGCAACTTATTCTCATATATTTAATTAAATCAAAATATGCAAGATAAATAAATCAAGCTAACAACCACAATTTAATAATGTAGATGTCTAAATATCTAAAAGTGAATATTCAGTAAATCAATAATCAGTTCTCAGTTATTAGAAGCCTTAAAGAAAGCTTATATTAAAACATTTTATAATAATAAATAGTTAAAAATCAATTTAGTGCCAAACCAAAGGCAGTCCTCATTAAGAAATAACAGTCACACCCAAACATCATCAAATACGACATTTTAGCATATAATTAATAAAACGCCTCACATCACTACTGCAGGGTGCTGCTGCAGGTGGTGCTGTGGGTGGTGCTACTGCGGGTGGTGCTACTGCAGGTTGTGCTACAGGTGGTGAAGGTGACACATGAACAAGTGGATCAACCAGCATATCGACAGGTATAATAGCAGGTAACTCTTCAAATGCATTAGAGGACTCTTCAAAAGGTTCATCAGATAGTAGTTCATCATCAGCTAGCAGTTTATAGCTATTAAAAAATATTTTCACCATCTCCTAAACTTCAAATTCCTCTTCAAACTATAAATTTTTTATACTAAAAATTATAAAGAGCAAAGAGAAAGAAAATAAAGATTTAGAAATTGAAATAATATATTTAAAAAAAAAAAATTAGAAGTGATGAATTTAAAGAATTTTTGTTAAAAAAATAGTTATTCTCAAATTAGAGAATGATATATTTAGAAATCAAAGTTTCGGATATGAAAGAAAGAGAAAACCATTATCAGAAGATGCAAAATAGAAGGTTTTTCAATGGGATTTATTCGAATTCCAATTTAGATATCATTTTGGTCCACATTTTGATAATTCAGATTTAATTTCAAGTTTAAAAGGTGAATTAATTTATTATTTACAAAGAACAGGTCCAAATTGTAATAAGACTGCAGAAGGGAATTTAGTACAGTTAAGAAAACAATATAAGATCTCTCAACTACATTATTACTCAAGTTTAGTGAATTTATCAGAACGGGCAAATTCAAATCATTAGAACATTTATTATTAGTTTTCGATATAGTTCTTCTTGAAAAAAATTATCAATTAACAATGGGAAAATCTCTTTATGCCAAGATGAAATTCAAAGTATATTTGGAGCCAGTGTTTCAAGTTCATTAGTCAGTAATTCAGTAACAGCAATAGATGTCAATAGAAATAGTGGATTTCGATGCTTTATAAGAACAAACAAATTATCAACTTTTAAAATTTAGTACACTCTTATGAGATCTCAAATATAGATGTATAGAGGTTATAGATTTAGAATTTGTTTAAGACCAATATCACCGTTTGAAGCGTTCTATTGAACCGTGGGAATTATCAAGAGACAATTTAATTCAAACAAAATTTGACGAAATGATTTAAACACCAATTAAATGGAAATATAAACTCAATTCAGAAATTGAAAAATAAAGAAACTACATCCTAAGAGGCCAAAATTTTATTGGTTTAAATAAATAATTAAATAAACAAATAAATAAATAAATAAATAAAAAAATTAATAAAAAGATAAATTAATAATATATATAGTAACTAATCTAGAGCCAATAAAATTAGCAATTAATCATTTAAACTCTGCATTTCTTTGAACAAATTAAACTCCAAACAAAAACAAAGAATGTCATAGAAATAATAAAAAAATAAGATAAAAAAAATATAATTAACTTAAAGTTTTTTTTTATTTTTTAAAATTTACATATTTTTTTAATGTATAATATTTATTTAAATATATCAATTTTATAAAATATAGATGATTATTTTTAACATATTTATTTCTTTTATCTTTCATCGATTGAAAGAAAGTTGAATTAAGATTTTTATTGAATCACAAGATCTTAAAGATTTCAAACTACCAATAGAGGATTCTATTTTATGATTCACTACTTGGTGTTACCGATTCTACCCTACTGTTTTTTTCTTATATTACCTGCTAAGCACAAATTATGCACAACTTAATAAAATGGGAGATACTAAATGACGAAACATGATCTGTATTGCTACTTGAATTTACGGATTCTGCGCCACCAAAATGATACAGGATTTTCATCCCAAACACTTAATGAAATAAGCTCTACAATAATAAGGGTAACATATTACTTGATATACAGGTTCTAAATAATTTGTGTTAGTAATTCTGTTTCTACAGGGTTTGTTTTTGTTTTATGATAGTTTGCTAATTTGAGTGTTTTCAAAATGCTTAAATTGTTTTTTTTGATGGGATTTGTTATGTTTTATTATTATTTATGTGAATGTACTTATTCATTGTGTATTTTTTTAATTTTTATAATTTCTAAAATAAATAAAAAGGTATTAATACCATTATTTATTTATTTATTTATTTTTTAAATTATATCACCCATTAATTAACAGATAGAATGATTTAAAAGTGATGGTTATTATATAACAGATGTTTTATGAAATATACAATTTTATTTAAAATATCTTATTTAAAAATTAAAAAAAATTAAAAAATTTAAAGTTATATTTATTAATATTTAATAAAAAGGAAAATTCTAAAAAATAAAAAAATTTATTTATGAAAAATTTAAAATTTTATATTTATTATTTTATTAAAAAATTTTATGATGTTTCAGTTTCCTAATACTGAAAATATTTTCGATTGGACTGATGGAGTTGAAAATAATTTCCTATACTTTTTCTATTTAAATAATAACCTAGTAATAATCTGAGGAAATAGTAAACAATTGATGTTTTGATGCTTTGGAAGTTGATCATGATTGTTGGACAGATAGGTTCATTTCCTAGGTTTTGCTTTAAATACCAAACTTAAAATATGGACTACTAAATATTGTCTTCATCTAATATTATTGATATTCTATCATATTTACTTGGCCAGAGAAAATTTGATAGATATAAATATTTGATTAGATCGAAAAAATTTCATTATAGTTGACTTGATTAATTTATTTTAAGTTGGTCTAAATAAGCTTTTTTTTTGAAACAATTTTAAGCTACGTGATGAATCTAATAATTGCATGGTTATTATCATTACTAATTGAAACTATAATCTATTATATTATTATTTTTTTTTTTTTTTTTATTATATCGAAGTCTTGTTGAAACGAAATTGAAAGTATTGGAGGTCTAACTACCTAGTAAAGTATTTTTTAAAACAAAATTATTCTTCTTCTTGATTATTTTAACTAATTTCTTGCCATTGAAAAAGTTATTGGAACTATATCATTTGGGGTTGCTTTTATTAAAAAATCAATATCTACTTCCATAACATCGAAAACTCTTTGGAATTTTAAACCTTCTTGGAACTGTATATTTAAGACCTTAACTATTCTTTACTACTGGGATGACAACAAAAAACGTATTTGAACGAACAAATAAGAACTCTTCATAAATTGCTTTTACATATTTCTTTGGTACAACTATAAATTTCATCAACTATTTTATTTTTTTCTAGGTAATTATTTCTAAAAGAATCTACAAAAATAACGTTTTTGTTGTTGTTGTTGTTGTAGTTGTTGTTTTTTTTGTTCTAGTTCTTGTAGATGTTGTTGTTCTACTTGGTAAAATAGTTGTTGTAGTTGTTGTCTTTGGTATTGTAGTTGTTGTTGTCTTATTTGGTACTGTCTCTGATCTAGTTGTTGTTGTTGTAGAACTTGATATTGTTTTAGATTGAGTCGTTGTTGTTGTTCGAGTTGTAGTTGTTGCTGATATGGAAGATCAAGTCTTTGTTGTTGTTTTATTTGATATTGATATAGTTGAAACCTCTCTTGATATTGTTCCCTTATAAATGAGATCG